AACACAGCTGGCGTCTTCGGAGCTCCCCCCGCCCGAGCCCCCTCCTCCGCCCCCTCCCGCAGAGGGACGATCGGAGCCTTCTCCCCCGCCGCCTCCGCCTCCTCCATTGCCCCTAGAGCGGACGAGCGGCATCGGGGACTCCCGCCCTCCTTCGTTCCAGTGAGTAGATAAAGCGGGGACTCGGAGGGTGGGTAGCCCACCTAGAACCTTGGCTAAATTCAGAGGTGCTGCTTGAGGACCTCTTAGGAGAAGAGGGGAAGCCTGGGCCAACTTTTGGGGTGCCCATTCTCAAACTTTGGGATGGTTTTGCAACCAAGGGGTTCTGTTTGTCTTCGCAGCCCAAATCTCTCGGGCAGCTGCGAGAACTCGGACCACGAAACCGAGACGGAGTCTGTTGTTTCACTGCGGAGGGAGCGCCCGCGTCGCAGGGAGAGCACGGAGCATGGAGGTGAGTGGGGCGCCCGACTGAGAGCTTCCGGACCTTTCCTCTATTTGCAGCTGGGGAGGGAGAGGAAGGTCCCGGCGGGTGGATCCGTCTGATGCCTTCCCCTTCTCTCAGGCGGGCACCGGATGAATGGGCAATCCCGGCTGGAGCGGCACTTGGCAGGGTACGAGAGTTCCTCCACTCTGCTCACCAGCGAGCTGGAGACCACCAGTCTCTGCGACTCAGATGACGATGACGCCATGAGCCGGTGAGAGCTGCAGAGACGGCGGGCGGCGTTTCCAGCACAGGGTTTCAGCTGCGAGCAATCGCAACTTCTTTATTCTTGGAAGTGCTGCTCTGGGAGTGGGCAGCCAGGCCTCCTAGCTCTCGGAGGGATGTGCCCGGAAGTGGGACTAATCTCTGGGAGTCTTCTCCTTCGGCAGCGTTGAGAGTCCTAGAGTCTGGGGACATTTGGTTGCTTTCCCGGCAAAGGAAAGGAACGTTGTTAGTTTTTCCCCGTTCTGGATGGGCCTGGGCTGCAGGGAACTATTGGGTGCCCCAGAGCTTGTCTTCGTCTTTGCCAAAGCAAAACACCAAGCAGGGCACTGCCAGCAGCAGAAGTCCTTCTCTATAGATTGGAGAGGATGTTTTGTTTTGTTTTCAGCGGGTGGCCACGAAGTTCCATCTTTTGGCTTGCCTCTCTGGCGCGCGTCTTGTTTCCTGACAGCATTTAAGGAGCGCTTGTGTTTATACCCAGAGGAGCAGTAGGCAGGCCGGCGGGTGCATGGGTGGGTTTTGGAAAGTACTGCTGCTCTCGCTGGACGGTGTCCTGTTCGGAAGGTGCTTCCGTTGTGCCTCTCGGCTTGCGGGAAGGCCTTCCCTTCTCTAGCTGGCGGTCTCTTCCCTTCGTTAGATTTAGCAGCTCCACAGAGCAGAGCAGCGCCTCCCGCCTCCTCAAGCGCCACCGCAGGCGGAGAAAGCAGCGGCCACCGCGTCTCGAACGGGTAGGTCTGGGGGACGGGTGAGGAATTGGCTGGGTCTCAGGACCCAGAGCCGAGGCTGGGGCCCGGGGCTCTCTTCTTGCCCATTTGGTGGAGAACCAAGGGTGGGGGATGACAGCTGGGGAGGCAGTCTGGTCCTGCATCCATTCCCCCTCCTCTGCAACTGTTTCAGACGTCCTCCTTCAGCAGCGTCACTGACTCTACCATGTCCCTCAACATCATCACTGTCACCTTGAACATGGGTAAGAACACGTGTGTACAAAAAAGACTGGGGAAAACTCCAAATATAAGGTTCCAAAAGCAAGAAGGAAAGGGTGAAAGATCTTCATCTAATTTGGGTGGGGGCCTTCCATTGCCTCTGTTCTGGCTCCCGCAGCATTTCCTGAGTTTTCAGCATGGCAGGGATTCAAGGCATTTTGTTTTACTCCTTAATTTTCTCTGAAAACCCACCAAGATCAAAAAATGTTTAAAATCTCCCTTTTGGGAAGACAATAAATGGGTGCTCCCATCCACCCTGCCCACTCGCTCAGGAAAAAATCAAAAACAGAGAGTAATAGATTTGTTTTCTGGGAAGTTTCCATCAGAAGATGAGGGGGTCTGCATCTCTCATAGGTGGCCTGAGGGGGTCGGGGAGCTGGCTGACGTGACCCTGCTGAAAATATGATCCTGCTCAGGCATCCTATGACCGAACCTTTGACAGCTCTCTTCTTGTTTGGGTAGAAAAATACAACTTCCTGGGCATCTCCATTGTGGGGCAAAGCAACGAGCGGGGAGACGGAGGGATCTACATTGGTTCTATCATGAAAGGGGGAGCAGTGGCAGCAGATGGCAGGATTGAACCTGGAGATATGCTGCTTCAGGTGAGATGCACGCACCGTTTCCTTTACACAGTGCAAACAAACAGTTTCCTGTTTTCTTGGAGTCTTTCAGCTCCTGCAGGTGTGAATTTAGAACTCCCTCCATCTGTTGGAGGAGGGTGAGTGAGACTCCAGCAGGCCTGAAAATGTTCTCTTTCTTTTTATCTCAGGTTAATGACATTAATTTTGAGAACATGAGCAACGATGACGCCGTGAGAGTCTTGAGGGAGATTGTGCACAAGCCGGGGTGAGTGCTGCTCCCTGCCAGACCTCTCGAGATCTGTCTCGCACAAGGCTGCGCGCTGGGGAGGGGGCTTCTAGCTGTCTGAGAATCATTCCTTCCTTTCCTTCCTTTGCAGTCCAATTGTACTGACAGTGGCCAAATGCTGGGACCCGTCCCCACAAGGGTATTTCACCTTGCCGAGAAGTAAGTCATCCATGCCGGTCCTGGCTGCAAAAAGGGCTTTGGTGCTGGTAGGGTTTGGCCATGGCAGAGAAGCCGTTGGGGTTCGCTCACAGAAACCGGTTCAGCTTAGAAACTGGCGAGAATCGGCAGACCCAGATTACAGCCAGTCCGGAGGGGGGGCAGTGGGGTGAGGAGACGGGTGCCAGTCGCCCCAGTCTTCCAGGAGCTGCGGGGATTCTCCATATCCCATCCTTGTTCTGTCCAGACGAACCAATCCAGCCCATCGACCCGGCGGCTTGGGTGTCCCACTCCGCTGCTCTGACAGGGGCCTTTGCCCCCTACCCAGGGAGCAGTTCGATGAGTACTATCACTTCAGGGACCTCCGTCGCCGAGACCGAACGTGAGTCTGCCGCTTCCCCGGCCACCTCTGGAACCAGAGGATGGGGGTGGTGGAACAGAACGTCTGGGGGGAGAGCAGAGCAGAGCAGAGCAGGGGCTTCTCTGGAAGATTACGGATTACGTTCCCTCCCCGCTGCCCCCAAATCTTCTTTTGTTAGGCTTTGATGACTTCAACCTCTCGATCCACACGGACATGGCTTCGGTCACCAAGGCAATGGCGTCTCCCGAGTCTGGCCTGGAGGTGCGGGACCGCATGTGGCTGAAGATCACCATTCCTGACGCTTTCCTAGGTAATGGCTGAATGGGGGGAGCTGATTCCTGAACCAGGCAGCCAGCAGCAGGGTTGGGCGTTCCCCCCTCCACAGCCTGCTAACGCGGGGACCGTCTTCCCATTATCCTGCCAGGCTCGGACGTGGTGGACTGGCTCTATCACCACGTGGAGGGGTTCCAGGACCGCCGCGAAGCCCGGAAGTACGCCAGCAACCTCTTGAAAGCTGGCTTCATCCGCCACACGGTGAACAAGATCACCTTCTCCGAGCAGTGCTACTACATCTTTGGCGACTTCAGCAGCTGCGAGAACTGTAAGTGGCAGCAGGGAGCTGGCCTGGGGTGAGCAGGACTGGGCTCTGCACACCGGGGCCCTCCCCTCTCTCTTTTTTCCCTGTTTTTGGGTGGGCCCCGTCTCAAGTCCCGGAACTTTGTAAGGCCATAGAGACCTTGTTTGCGATTGGAGCGGCCTGCAATAAAGAGTGGCCGCAGCTGTGAGAATTGTTCAGGTTGGTTAAGTTTGAGCCTGACCCTTCTAGGTCTGCAGGAAACCGAGGAACCTGCTGAAAGGTGTTGGCTGGCTTAGCGTTGCTTTGGTTGAAATCCAAGGCCTTCCAGCTCAGAAGGTCTTGGGGTATTTTGGGTACTCTGCAGGCTTGAGTGGAAACTGATTTCCAGAAAAAGGAAGTTCTGCAGAGAATGCTTAATTTGGCTGCTCTCTCTCCCCTTTCTCTTGCCCTATTTTGGTTACGTAATTTTAAGTCTGAGGAAGCCATGTTTTCTTGTCCAATTGGACCCTTATCGTTCCTGTTTCTTTTCACTGTCTTGTGAATTTTCCCTACC